ACAGATCACTTGTTTGGGGACAAAGATCCAGCTGGACACCCAATTCACTTTAGCTCTGTAAAATGGGAGTGGACCAAGAAGGCACCAGCTGACCAGGTACAGGCCAGAGGTGCAGGGGCAGTGAGAGGATTCACCAGAGACAGAGTGGGGAGCAGAACAGGCAGATGGAATGAAACACACTGCTGAGGGGAGCAGTGGGCCAGTCAGGAGAAGTCTGCCATGCCATGTGGGTCAGCTCTTTGGCCAGGAATCGAACTCTGGCTACAGATATCTTCATAGTACTGCACTTTACCCTATTGTGCCACCAGGGAGACCCAATACATTTAGTCTTTACCTGTTCTCTCATAATAAAATCTCATAGTAAATTCTTTAATAAAAGAGCTTTAGAGCCAAGAGCTACAATGGTAAGCAGCCTCTGACATGGCTTTCCTGATCCCTGGATTCTGATATTCATACCCTTGTAGAATTCCCCCACTTGGGTCTAAGCTAAATCTAATGACCAGCTTCGAAATAACAGAATATGGTCAAAGTGATGAGATGTGACTTGCATGATTAGTTTCCAAAAGACTATGACTTTGGGGCCCTCCCTAATGGTGCAGCAGGTTAAAGCAGGTTAAAGCTAAAAAGCCACTTCAGCACCAGTTCAGTCCCCAGCCAGGGAGCTGACCCACAAGGCCTGGCAGGCCTTTCCCGACCGGCCTGCTGCTCCCCTCAGCAGTGTATTTCAGTCATCTGCCTCTTCTGCTCCCCACTCTGTCTCTGGTGAATCCTCTCATCCACTACACCTCTGGCCTGTACCCCAGTTCTGTGTGCATAAATAAATAAATCTTAAAAAAAAAAAAAAACATGACTTTGACAAACTAGTGCTCTCTTTCTTGGTCTTTCTCTCTGTCTCTCATTCTCTCTCTCTCTCCCTCTCCCTCACCACTCTCTCTTGTCTACTTCAACGAAGCCAGCTGCCATGTTGGGAGAGGCCCAAATGGCAAGGACCGGAGGTCCTCAATCCAATAACGCTCAAAGAAGTGAGAGCTGCCAGCAACGATGGGAGTCAATCTGAAAGCAAGTCCTTTACCAATTAAGTCTACAGATAAGATCACAGCCTTGATTGCAACCTTGTGTGAGACCCTTTTTCCAAAATCCTGAAACAGAACCCTTCCATCACAGTCCTAATTCTGCTTTCTCCAAAGCCTCCTCCCAGTTCCCCAACCAGTCCTCAGGCTGCCCAGTGTGAGGCTGGGGCTTGGAGTGGGTGGGAAGCAGAGCTATTTGGCTTCTGGCTGAAGTTAAAGTGTGCTTCTCAGCCAGCTGCTGCTGCCTGCAAGAGAGACCTTGAAATTAGTAGACACATTTACCCGCAGCAATACATTCTCTGATACACACATATACACTTCCCCCATTTTTCAGCCTCGTCTGGCCCAGGTGTTGTGGAGGGAACTCAGAAGTCGGAGCTACTCACTATTTCCGTCCTGAAAGTGCTTCCAGCCTGCTGGGAAACTGTGCCAAGGAGGGAGGAGAATGGAGCCAGCAGCCTGCAGGGAGGCAGGGGTCAGGAGGGCCGGCTCCGTGGAGGAGTCGGCTTCAGAAGATGGGGAGAGCAGGAGGAAGGGGAGGAATAGCAGCCAAATGTCCTGGAATGACTGGTGGTAAACGTCCTGCAGTCATGTAACAGGGGGATCCCTAGGAAAAGGGAAAGTTCCAGGTTCCCTGCCCCACCCAGAAGGAGGGTGGAGCTGAGCAGAGAAAGAGAAGAGAAGGAAGCTGGATGGAGAGCCAGAAGGAGACCTGAGGAAGCCACATGGAGCAGCAAGCATGTGAGGAAGAAACCGGGCTTGTTTCCTGACCCTGGACTGGTGAAGGCAGATGTGGGTGAGAGAACTGTAGGGAGGTGACTATGGCCGTGTTTATATTGATTTTGATGTTGCTCTTTTCCTCCCGGATTTGTCTGGCCATCTCTGACCCTTTTCCATGGGTCCCTGCCAGAAGGTGCTTTAGTCTAGTGGCAGCTTTCAGGTCTTGCTTTGGGCCAGTCCCTTTTGGGTGGACTTTTGCCCATGAGGGGATGGGTCACTTCAGGTGTTTGATTTAGAAGTTCTATTCTTTGTGTTCCATATTGTATAGTCACTGTATTAAAGTCCCTTTTCATTAAAGTTTTATATGTTTTGTCTTGTTGCGGTGGATGGCAGAACCCACTTAGAGCAGGCAGGATTTGGGGGCTTCAGGAGTGCCCCTCTCCCCCTGTCCTTTAACAGAATTGAGGTGCCCTATAACAGTCATACACTCCTGCAAGCAATAAACCAGCCACTCGCAGGTAAAGTAAGAGTGCTTAGCCTCTTCGTCGGCAGCTGAGTATCAGGCTCGCTCCTCCAGTTCATAACTGATATTCAAATGATTGTCCTCAGATTTGAATTGTGAAACTAATTTGGATGAATCAAAGTTTGTCTGATGTGTAGTGATACCCACTGCTTTTCCTGCCTACCCGTTGTTAGAGGACACAGCTCAGCTTGATTTGTGCTAGTTGTGTGGCCTTGAGCAGACAGACACATCACCTAACTTCTCTGAATCTTAGTTTCCTCATTAGTAAACTGGGGACAAAAGTAGTTATCAGAGGGTTAAATGAGATATTCTATGTAAAGTGCCTTTGCAGGGGCCCTCCCTGGTGGCACAACAGGTTAAAGCACAGCACTATGAAGCTATCTGCAGCTACTGCAGCACAATTTTGATCCCCAGCCCTGGAGCTGACCCACATGGCGCAGCAAACCTCTCCTGTCTCCCTGCTGCTCCTCTCAACAGTGAAATTCAATTAATCTGTCTGTTCTGCTGCCCACGCTGTTTCTGGTGAATTCTCTCACCCCTAGCACCTCTGGTCTGTACCCCAGTTCTTGTAAGCATAAATAAATACATCTTTAAAAATGTTTTTTAAAAGTGCCTGGCAAGGGGTACGTGTTCAGTAGACATCTGATGGGGTAGCGTTTCTCAGGTCAACTCTCCTGTACTAAAGCAGGAACAGATCACTTGTTTGGGGACAAAGATCCAGCTGGACACCCAATTCACTTTAGCTCTGTAAAATGGGAGTGGACCAAGAAGGCACCAGCTGACCACACAAGTAAGCAGTTACCGCAGGGTAGACCATTTGGCCATCATATAATTTTGCTTGGCAAATTATATATTAGACCAACAGAGAAACTAATCCTGAAAATTATAATTATTGGAAGCTCTGGCACCTTAAGGAAATCTCTGCCTAGGCTAGGGAAGGAAGGGGTGGATGGTACTGTGGTTGCTTTACTTACCACCTAATCCTACCAATAAGGCAGATTTGATTTGGGGCCACTACGTTTCCCTGAGTGCAAGTAAGCAGATCAGATTTAGTTGAGCAGGGAAATACTCAACTCTGTGAAAACAGAGTCCAGTTACTCAGATTAAGAAATCCTACCAAATTCCATTTTTTGTTAAATTAGGTTTGGGAAACATAATTTCATAATTTGTATTTCAAAAGACACAGTTCTGTAAGGGTGTTTTTAGGTGACAGGGCTGGACAGGAGTTGGTGGCCATGGGAAAACGGGGAGATGCTGGTCAAAGGGTACATAGACTTCTAGTTATAAGAGCCGTAAGTTCTGGGGATATAATGAATAGCATGGTGACTACCATTAACAATACTACACTTAGAGCCTCCCTGGTGGCCTGGGGGATAAGGCTCAGCACTATACCACTGGAAAGGACTGCTTGGATGACCTGAGTTCTATCCCTGGCCAGGGAGCTGACCCACATGGCACAGCAGACCTCTCTGTCTCGCCCACTCAGCAGTGTACTTTGTCGACCTGTCTGTTCTGCTCCCCACTCTGTCTTTGGTGAAGCCTCTCACTGTCCGTCCCCACCCCCACCCCCCGCACCTCTGACCTGCACCCTAGTTCTTCTATGTAAAAATAAATGCAATCTTTAAAATAAAATTCTCCATTGTACACTTATATTTAGGTTCTTACCACACATACACTCACACAGAGTAACTCTACGAGTTCACAAGTGTGTTAATTGCCTAGACTGTGATAGTCATCTCAAATCTTCAGGTTGTATGTCCTAAATACATATAATTGTTATCCCTCTATTTTATCTCAGTAAGGCTGGGAGGAATATGAGAATTTAATTGATCATAAATTCATCATTTTGGAGCCGAGCAATGAGCTGTCCATCATTCCTCCACATGGAGTTTCTTTGGAAGACTGCAACAGTGCCCGCTCTGTCTACCATCAGGCTAAACACAGTGCCTGGGACAGAGATGGCATACAAAAAATATTTGTTGAATGAATAAATTGTGATTAGATGAATCTAATGCTTCCTATAAACTTTATAGATGTTACTCTCTTCTGAAGTTCAAGTCCAAGCTCCTGTGTGATAACCATATTGAGTTATTTTAGGGGAATAATTGGATACCAAGGACAGGAGCCACCTATTAAATTATTCAGTCAGTTTTACAATGTAGACTTCTCTCTTTGACATCCCTGGCCAACATGGAACTCCATGACACACACCTCTACCTGTGTGGCAAGGAGTACATAAAGTATACACACATTCAGGGGGCTCCCTGGTGGCACAAAGGGTTAAAGCTCAACTCTATGAAGCTATCTGGAGCCACTGCCCCATGAGTTCAATCCCCAGCCAGGGAGCTGACCCACATGGCGCAGCAGACCTCTCCTGTCTCGCATGCTGCTCCCCTCAGCAGTGCATTTCACTCAATCTGTTTGTTCTATGCCCCACTCTCTCTCTGGTGAATCCTGCCACCCCCCAAACCCCGTACCTCTGGCATGTACCCCAGTTCTTGTATGCATAAATAAATAAATCTTTAAAACACACACACACATCCATTTGTCTAAAGAAGGGTCATATATAGGTTGCATAATTGTCAGGGTGTTCTCAGCTCATTCGCTGAGTTTCTGGAGCCTTCTCAGCCTTGTGGTTTAGCTGTGCAAAATGGGGATGTATTGCAGTTTCCTATTTCAATGAAAATTTAGAAAAATGACTGTGATAACATTTTCCTGATTAAAAAAAATGTCATTTGACTGCAGGGAATCATTTTGAGTAAACTCAAAACTGGAAGTGACAAGTTTATAATGTATGAGACATAGTGTTTAGCATGTAGATTTTATGTTGCTCAAAAGCAAACCTAGTTGGTCCTTAATCAAAATATAAATTGGAAAGTCCTAATCTGAAATTCAACGCTCATTTGGGCAGAAAAATTAAAAACCCTTTTAATAACAACACATTAAAGAGTGTTTTTGAAAGAGTGTTTTAGTAGAGATCATATGTCTTTGTACAAGAGGGATCTTTCTTCACCTTCTGCCAACAAGTTGCTGGTGAATATTACAACTTATTTTAACATTCTGGATTTGGTTTGAAACTACTCTTTGGCAGTGTAAAGAATTCTGTAAAACATCTGGGCAAATATCTTCAAATGATTGGAAAATGTTAATTGTCTTTCTAGATCTTTTTTTTTTAAGATTTACTTATTTATGTATACAGAACTGGGGTACAGGCCAGAGGTGCAGGGGCCATGAGAAAATTCATCAGAGACAGAGTAGATGGATGAAGTACACTGCTGAGGGGAGCAGCGGTTGGGTCAGGAGAGGGCCAGGAGAGGGCGGGTCAGGAGAGGTCTGCCGTGCAGTGGATCACCTCCAGGGCTTGAGATCTAACTCACAATGAAGTGGCTGCAGCCAGCTTAGGAATGCTGCACTCCAATCAGCTGCACTACCAGGGAGGGCCCTCTTTCTAGATCTTAAAGGATAGTGTTTCTACAGTTAAAATCATATATCATTTTCACCTTGGTTATCCAAATGAATAACTGGCATTCAAATTATATACATGGGGCCCTCCCTGGTGGCACAAGGGTTAAAGCACAACACTATGAATCTATCAGCAGCCACTGCAGCAGGAGCTCCATCCCTAGCCAGGGAGCTGACCCACATAGGGCTGCAGACCTCTCCTGTCCTGACTGCTGCTCCCCTCAGGAGTGTGTTGCAGTAGAACTGCCTGTTCTGCTCCTCACTCTGTCTCTGGAGAATCCTCTCACCCCCAACCCCAGTCTTGTATGCATAAATAAATAAAATCTTTTAAAAACTTATATACATCATTGGGCATCCCTGGTAGCCTAGGGCTTAAGTCTCAGCACTATCACCCAGATGGCCTGAGTTTGATCCCAGCCAGGGAACTGACCCACATGGCGCAGCAGACCTTTCCTGTCTCACCCGCTGCTCCCCTCAGCATGTACTTCAGTCAGACTGCCTGTTCTGCTTCCCACTCTCTCTATGGTGAACCCTCTCACCCCCGGCACCTCTGGCCTAAACCCCAGTTCTTCAAGGTAAAACAGCAGCAACAACAAATTCACAATAACATCCATCATTTGCCCATGACTCTCACTATGTATCTTGTAGTGACACTTTTCTCTCTCTCTCTCTCTTTTTTAAGATTTATTTATTTATGCATACAAGAACTGGGGTACAGGCCAGTTGTAACAGTATCCCCCGAGAGGGGAAATGATAGGATTCACCAGAGACAGAGTAGGGGGCAGGACAGGCTGCTTGACTGAAATACACTGCTGAGGGGAGCAGCGGGGAAACAGGAGAGGTCTGAGGCACCATGTGGGTCACCTCTGGACAGGATTGAACTTATGCCGCAGTGGCTGCACTTTAACCCCTTGTGGCAGGGGGCCCTTGTAGCGACATTGCTTAGGTGAAGGCT